CATATATATATATATACATATATATATATATATATATACACACACACACACACACACAGTTAAATGAATTAAATATATAATATACAATACAAATGACTATTTCTATATAGTAAGCTATTATATAATTACATGAAGTTGTTATATAATTCTATAATTTCTTTAAATAGAAAGTATATTCTAGCATGCATGCATGCACAGGCATTTCACAGTAAAGGATTATTTAAAGAATGGCAAAACACAAGTTCAATGCTGAGTAAGGTGAGAGGAATTTGCTGTTTACAGGCCTGTCACTGAGCAACAATGTTTGAACAGTGTATACAGATCTAGTACAGCATGGAGAGGTAGTGCAGGTTCTTACTTTTGTGTTGGATGTTTGTCACCGAACTCTTTAATTTTGTCCTGAAAGATGAATAATGGAACAGACAGGGAGAGAGAGAGAGAGAGAGAGAGAGAGAGAGAGAGAGAGAGATTAAAGCAGACTCGGATGAATGCATGGGCGGGAGTGTTTGGCTGATGTGTCCGGACAATGACAGCACATTTTCCAAACGGGTGGAAATGACATCAGTCAACCTCTGTTTACAAACTACGGTGAAATTCCAGTGAAATCCCATCTGTGTCTGCAGCTGTGGCTCCTCAACCACAGCTTCACAGTGCAGAGAGAGAGTCCATTTTAAAACACTCTCAGATAAACTATTAGTGTTTGTTGTGTGTTTTAACTGTTAGTCCAGTTTTATCTCTGCAGTGGTTTGACAAAACATCAAAGTGGGCAGAAGAAGTGTTAAGAACAGTGACAGCCTGTTCAAATCATGTCATGTTCATTATCACCTTTGTAGTCCAATTGCTGTCTCAGTGCTGTTATATAACAGCCCAGCCCTGTACTTTACTTAACTCCTAATAAAGGTTGTGGCTTTACACTTCATGATTTCATGATGTTTCATATTCAAACTATTCTGCCCCATTAGTAAAACTCGAGCAACTCTTCATCAACACAAATAAAATAAAATCTAATCACTTTATTATCACACCAAACCAGACATAATTTTCTTTTATTTCATTTTATGGATATAATTTAGCATGACTATCATTAATATTACTAAAATAACTATTATTACAGTGATTCACTTAAAAACAAATCTGGAAATGTACTTTAAGACCCAGAAGTATTTGTCATAATTGCATTTAGTTTGGTATTGGTTTGATAGGCAGACATTTGATAGGATGAAAATGACAAAACATAAATACTTTCCTTAGAAAAAAAAATGTGTTAAGCCTTTAATTAAAAAAAGTACAAGAGTAATGTTTTAATTGTTAAAATAATAATTATTTAATTATTAAACCAATATATTTTGCTTATCATATATATATATATATTTATTTATTTATTTATTTATTTTAACACTTTAGTATAGGGACCAATTCTCACTATTAACTAGGTGTGTATTAGCATGCCTATTATTAACATATTGGCTGTTTATTAGTACTTATAAAGCACATATTCTGCATGACCATGTTCTACATCCCTAATCCTACCCAATACCTAAACTTATCAACTACCCTACTAACTACTAATAAGCAGCAAATTTGGAGTTTATTGAGGCAAAAGTCGTAGTTAATGGTTTGTTAATAGCAGGTTTTAGGACTGCTTCCCTATAAAGTGGAGCTCCATTAAGAGTGACAGGTCCTCCTCTGAATGGATGTGCCAAGGCTGAAGAAGAAGAACCAGAAGTATAATTGCAGACAGTATTGGGCAAGCTACTCAAAACATGTAGCTAGCTAAGCTGGCAACCACCATACAGAAAAAAATCAGCTGAGCTAAACTAAAAGCTGAAAAAGTGGTAGCACTAGAAACTATATGGTAGCTTGCTATATATTTAAAATACTTAATATTTTTTAATAAATATGATATATTATAATAGTCAGCTGTAATCTTATCCAATATTCTATGTGTTTATATAAAATTGTACAGGCCTGTGGTATTTGCTACTCCAATATACTTTAGCAATACCACAGTACTACAGTGGTACACAATCCAAAAATACACAGAAACGCTGTGTTATTCAAGTGCTTTTGTGTACTGTTTTGATAGTTTTTTTTGTTTTGGTAAATGTATTCACCTTCACAAACATGTGTAAGTGCTGAATTCAATAATGGCATTCTTTGCTGCAAACAATGTACGCTAGCATAACAATAGGATTAGCATGTTTTGTTGTTAGTAGTGATCTTTTTGTTGTACGCGTTATGTCACTTATATTACACAACTTTCAGAGTTATCTGATTGCTGTTCTTACACTACGTATTTGTCTAAAACAAAACAAATTGCACACTACAGGTCTAGATGTTTAACCTGCTAAATCTCTTTTGGGCATCAGCTACACATCGGCACTTCTTTCAAACTGAGTCTTTGAAAATTCAAACATATAGTGATTGGCACTCATGTGCAACTCACTCATAGCACCGGTTTGCCTCCAATTTTGGACTGTCCAAAATTCTGAAAATCAGAGCTAAAATCATGAAGTGTGTGGGTGGTATTAGCAGGTTAGATATCAAGACCTGTCTGCGTTCCAAGTCATGTAGTGGGAAATTTATTTTGACTGGAATTGATAGATAGTTGTGAAAAGAACAGCAATCCACGACTGAAAATCATGTCGTGTGTGAGCGACATTATCCTGTTGGTGTTTTGTTGAGTGAGAAACCTCACCGATTTTTCATTCCAACGACTTCCATTCATATGGATGCTAATGCGGGGGATGGGAAACGCAAGCTTGTGCGAATTTCGCTGCTTTCCAAAGTTGAAGTTTGGTGAACTAGTATCGTTGAATTTTTTGCTAATTTTTTTCACATGAAGAAGTGTGACCAACAGAAAACCTGTGTGGACTCCGAATTAAAACTTTAAATCCACAGAAGTTCAGCGAAACGAGTAAATTTCATATATTTACATTTTGGATATATTGTATGTTGAATTAAGTTTTTAGAAAAGATGAATTTGACATCATATTATGACCACTGCCGTGTAAAGCCTAGTACAGGGGTTCTCAACTCCACTTTCCTGCAGAGTTTAGCTCCAACTTTGATCAAACTCACCTGGCTGTAAATTTCTAGTAAGCCTGAAGACTGATTCTTTTTTTTTCATGATTCCCAAAAGAATTATGTTCGCAAGTCATGTTTTAAAACAGCCTAGAGAGCAAGACGAACATACGACTTGCACACAGAAATATCATCAGTTAAAAAGTTGCCGAGTTTGTCAGCTCTCTTTAATCAATAAAATTGCAGTTCAATTACAGTATAGCATTTCTCCACATCAGTACTGTCCGTTCCTGTTTTATCGCAAATGTTTGAAATCCTTGGTGCTGCATTATTCAATGTGAATGTGAAAACCGAAAGCAGAGCCCATTTGCAACAAACCCCTTGAGTTTTGTTTTGTGTATGCATTAGTCTTATCTGTCTTTGCTTTGGTGTCATGGTACCTTGACCGCGTGGTTGCTCTGGGATGGCCGTGTCTCTTCTGATCAGGAGGTGTCGGACAAGCAGGTCAGGGGCTGAGAGGTAAGTGTCCACTTTTAGAGGCCTCTTCCCCTTCCTCTCTCTCTCCCTGTCCATCTCACGCTCCCGGAATGTTGGCTTCCGCCCAAAAACATGTGTGTGACCCGCCATTATGTACAACACGAAGTCCTAAACAAATAATAAGCAAGAGAGTGAGAGGGTTAGAAGGAGACTGGCGAAGACAGAGAGTGGAAAAAAGCTGTTATGATCTTCATTGTGGTCTTTACTCCAATCTGTGCAATCTCCTATCTTAAGTCGCAGAAATACAGCGGCGATAAGGAATGAAGAGTGTTACAGTTTTCAACAATGTGTGCTTCTGTGAGGTCATTGTGCAGAGATGGAGATGTAGACACAGCATGCTTGTGTTGGTATTGTCCGGCCCCCGTGTGTATATAGAACCTCTGTATGGCTGTTTTGTGCTGCGTGTTCAATGGCCATTCCACTCAAAGGTATGAAAGCACTGATGGTATGTTGTGATTAGAGCAATACAGGTATGATGTCATGGGATGGCTGTAAGATAAGTGAGATGATGCATGTCTAGCCTTGCTCTGGTCATAGCCTTGCAGTAACAGGAAGTAAGGCCGATCTGTCGGTGGAAGGATCAGACTCTGCGACATCACTTCCAGGTCACAGGTGTCTTTCTCTTCTTCTGCTGCCCGAGTGCGCCTGTCTGTCTCACCTCCACCACTTCTTGACCCAGTGACCTGACAAAGCAGAGACAAGATAGTACTGTGAATGGATTACATGCCTTTACTGTATAATGGCACAAACATGCATTAAATTGACTTTATGTTGTTTAATTTAGTATTAGGGACATGTAGTGGGGATATATATTATAGAGCTTAACAATAAGGATGTGAGAGAGTTCCAGTGCCAGTTGACAGAGCTGTCATTTGATCTATTGAGCCAGCGCTCAATTGAGCCAGTTTCCTCTGCATGTCAACTTTTTAAAATTATTAGCTTGGTAAAATAATCTAGCTGGCTAACACAGATGAGTTTTTGTGGAAATTGTAATAATGACATGGAAGCAGCAGTTGCTATCTTGAGTTTTTCTTTATTATTATTATTTAGCTATTATTTCTTTTTTTTTTGTGTAAAACTTGTGAAAAATGTGTAGTAAATAATATTTTTTAAATAATTAAAAATAAGTTTTACATATTATAAATATTATACATTTTAAATACTTCTAAATATAATACTCCAAGATTTCATATATATTTAAAAAAAAAAAATTTTTTAATTTTATTTACAATGTGTCAATTCTGCTTGTCAACTTTTAGTTAGGTAAATGATCTAGCTGGCTAACAAGGCTTTGTCAAATTTGTAATAATTACTTAATGATAGTCTTAGTAGCTTCAGTGAAAATAAGTTTTAAAAAGTTATCAGTAAACTTGTGACAAATGTGTAGTAAATTATATATTTTTATAATTTCAAAATAAACATTTACTTTAAATATTAAATAAGTTAATATTCAACTATCATAAATATACATATTGAAATACTTCTAAAAATTATTTTATGATTTTATAAATATATATTTTTTAAATATATAAATATATATGATGTAAAATAAATACATTATTCATTCATTTATTTATTTAATTTTATTATTATTATTTATTTTTTAAACAAGTGAATGCGTTGGAAGGAGAAGTAGAAATCTGAACTACTAGCCCAAAAAAATCCTTATTGTTGGGCCCTGTGTTATCAATTCGATTTCACATTATTGAGGTTGTGATGTATTGCAAACTTGGTCTGTTTCTTTATTTTACCTCTCCTCCTTCAGTTGCTATCATGCTCACTGTGTTCTTTCTGTCCTGTCCATTTGGGGCATTGCCAGAACGCCGAGGTTCATTGCTCACATTGCCCTGACGACGTCTTAGACTCAGGTTAATATCACTAATACTCCTCCTCAGTTCTGTGTTCCGGCCTCGATGACCTCGTTCTTCTTCTGGACCGCCCCCAGAGGACATGTGGCTCCGCCTCCAACGGACTCCTGTTACCACAGTAGTGTTTTCCCACAAATTAATTGTCACCCAGGTTAATACACTTTTAAAATGTCTATATAAATAACAAATGTGTAAATATAAAGATGGTTCAACCTTGATAGCTCTCTCCATCCCTCTCTCTCTCTCTTTCCTTCTCTTTCTCCTCCCTCTCATATTCATCAAGGCGCTGGATCTCAAACCGTCGTTCAAAACCATCCTTCGGCCTCCACATATCTACTAGCTGTAAGGGGCATTCCCAGGAGGCCACGCTCCTTCGGCATTCAGTTTGCCATTTAATGGCTCCATCTGGCTGCTGAATGGGCTTTCCAATGACATCACATAACAGGAAGTCCTCGGGGAAATATTTCTGGAGAGCTAGCCAGGTGAACAGGAAGTTGGGATATTCAGAAGCCAATGATACAATGAGCGAGTAAAGCCTAATTTCCTACATCTAATCTGTGATGGCTTCACTCAGAATGCACATTTGATTATTTGCAGCTTGCTTTTGATGTTTTATTTTTCATACATTGCAAGATATTGGATTGATGAACCCAATATGCAGGCCAATATGAAACTTCCATCATTATTTACTCACCCTCATGTCATTCCAAATGTGGCTGTACTGTATTTCTGAAGAATCTTATCGTAGTTCTTTCTAAACAACAACTATTCAAACCACAAAAGCACCATAAAAGTGATTCATATTACAGATCATGTGCTTTATTCCAGCCTATTGAGGCCATAACTTTTTTTGTGAGGAACAGACTGAAATATACACTACCGCTCCAAAGTTTGGAATTAGTAAAAAAATTTTTAGAAGAAATTAATACTTTTATTCAGCAAGGATGCATTTAATTTATTAAAAGTGACAGTATACATTTTTACATTGTTACAAAAGTTTTCTATTTCAAATAAATGCTTTTGAACTTTCTATTCATCAAAGAATCCTGAATAAAATGTATTTCATGGTTTCCACAGAAATATTAAGCATCACAACTGTTTTTAATATTGATAATTATAATAATAATAATAATAATTAAAAAAAAACTCTTGAGCATCAAATTGGCATATTATAATGATTTCTGATGAGTGTGACACCCATTTAAAATACTGTATATTAAAATTCAAAAGTTATTCAAAAGTTATTATTAAAAAGTTATTTTAATGTTAAATTGTAATAATATTTCACAATATTAATGTTTTACTGTATTTTTATAAAATAAATGCAGCCTTAGTGAGCATAAGAGACTCTTTTTTTTCTTTCAAAATAAAAAAAATCTTGATTACAAGACATGGAAGGACATGTCATTTTGGATTTAGTCACATCAACACTGGCATATCATGTCCATTTTTGGACCTGAAAGAGGTTCATAAATGAGATTTCAGCAGAGATTGAATATCAGTAAATAATGACAAAAATATTTTTCATGATATCTGTGACTAAACTATATTTCAATACGTTCTTTACGCAAAACTGGATTCAGAAGACTTAGGGCACAAGTGTTAAAGGGTTAGTTAAGCCAAAAATGAAAATTCTGTCATCATTTACTCACCCTCATGTAATTTCAACCCTGTATGACATTCTTTCATCTCTGGAGTGCAACAGAAGATATTTTGAAGAATGTAGGTAAACAAACAGTTGATGGTAGCCATTGACTTCCTTTTTTTTTTTTTTGTCCATACTATGAAAGCCAGTGGGACTCAAAACCATTATCCAACATTCATCAAAATTTCTTCTTTGGTATTGCAGAGAAGAAAGAAAGTTATACAGGTTTAGAGCGACATAAGGGTGAGTAAATGATGACAGATTTTTCATTTTTCGGTGGACTATGGCTTTAAAGACACACTTTGATTATATCTTGATGGTGCTTTTGTGCTTTTTTGGATTTTGACTGCTGTGACCACTGAGTAAATGATGCATAATTTTTACAAACTCACACATTAGTGATTGCTAGACTAACTTGATGGGTTCACCATTACAGGGAAAGAAATACCTGTGTCTTCGCTCTCGTTCTCTCTTTCTCTCTCAGTGTAGCGGGTGATGACCTGCTGAATGAGCTGGCGGGAAGTGGAGTGCATGTTTGCCAGCAGACTCCGATAGTTAGCTCCACTAGACAGGGCATCTCCATAGATCTTGACTAGCCCAGGGGCATTAGAGGAAGCGGGAGGCAGGTAGTGATGTGATGACGAGGTGGCAGAATGTACCCATATTTCCCTCTCACGTTCTCCAATGGCACGGTCTCGGTCGCTGTTGGACCGGCCTCTCAGGAAAAGGTGAGACAGCCGCTTGGCCCGGGACTGCTGATTGGCGGGGCGAGGGCGGAGGAAGGCTGGAGAAGGGGATGGAGAGGGTGGGGCAAGAGAAGGGGTGGAGTGAGAGAGGGAGGAAGGGACTGATGATGGGGCCTCGGGAAGGGAAGCGGCATCTGAGCTAGTTGTGGACCTGATTAGACGAAAGCAACAGGAAGGAGGTGATATACAAATCATATATTGTATATCACATATTAATCTGTCTACGTAGTACAGTTTGTACAGTAAAACGTCCATGTTTATGTCATACATGCAGATCTTTCCATAATGTTCCCCCATTGCTTGGAAAGAGAAATGTTAGTAACAGTTAGATCTATGACACTCAGTTTGTTTGTCCAGATCAATTAATTTATTAAAAAACAAGATTAACAGTGCAATTCATTATACAATAACTTGAATACATTTTATGATGAACATGTTCTAATGTCTGAATTAAAATGTATTTTAATATTTTTTAAATTAAAGTTTTTTTAAATGTCAGGGTGGTACATCTGTACTGATATCATAATGAAGAAAAAGAATGAAATGATTGAAAAGAGAACCTAATTGAGTAGTTTGGCATAATCTTTTCTTATTATTTATAAAAGTAGTGATTTAACATAAAAAAGACTTGGCACAACCAACACGCAAGCAAGCACACAAATGAACAAATAAGTAAAAGAATATATATATCATAATATTGTTGTTATAATCTCTCTTATTTTTAGTCTGCAAGGGTCAGAATAAGGTCAGTAAGTAAAATCAATTTTTATGTATCAACCTTATTGAACTAGATTGTGTCACAGTTTAAGTCTCTTAAAATATCAGATAATTTGTTGTTGTTGGTTTTTTTGCCTTTTTTTTTTTTTTGCAAAAGGTTAGGCAAGCTCATTTCTAGTTGTAAAATGTCATACAACATATATTATATATGTCAGGGTTCTGGACTATCTGTGTGCGTTTTGCTCCCCGTGACCCAGTTTTTCCTCGTGTTAATTTGTTTCCAGCTGTCTCTATTTTGTCCCTCGTTATCCAGTGTTTAAAAGTCCTAGTCTGTTCAGTTTGTGTTTGTCAGGTCTACTCGTTCTCTACCTCAGCCTACCATCATTACGGTGAAAGCTCCACGGGTCTGCCATCCTCTAGCGTCGCCATGGCTGGAGAATCCTTCACCTCCGCCTCCAGCCTCCGAGGCCCGGACTCCGCCTCGGCACGTAGGCCCAGCGGCTCCACCTCGGCTCCTAGCTCCCTCGCCTCCACCGTCCCC